CACAAGTGTCACACATCTAACAGAAAAGAAAGGTTTTATGAGACATTGTCATTTTAACAGTTAAAATGTAAAGATGTAATAAATATAACACATTAAAAATACATAATTGTACACAATTGTTGATTTACTGAAATGCTAGACTTATGCTGCTAACCTTTTGGAGAAATTAATACTTAGTATTTGTCCATTTCAATTTGTTATAGTAATTCATTTTACTAATGCAAAACCTTTTTCTGTTAATAGGGACCAACTGTCAAAAATATGATGCACATTTCCAGTAACCTTAAAACTTCACAGCACCCACAACTGAAAAATATTATGCAACGTAGGTATAGCTGCAATTGCAACAGTGGAAATTTGTAAATTACCTGAATAATGGAGTCACCAACAGTCAGAAGTGCTTCACTCACTGCCTCATGGAACAGATGTACTGGTGGGTCCACAGTCAGCTGACTACTAGCACTGAAACACAGCTCAGTGTGGAAGAGGCTGCACTGCTGAGATCTCTCTCTCTAACAAACAAAAAACCATCAATGGCATTCATTTAATTAAATATTAATGAATTTCTTTGTGAATTTGCTTTATCTGATCCTTCCACCATTATTTTAACATATAATAACAGTGATGCTTAATAAAAGTAATTAAAGTTTTGTATCCATGTCTCTCCTGGTTATAACTCAAGAGCAGGTTGCAACAGTGTGCTATGTGTAAATACTGTGAGTTAAAGACAAAAATGACAAGGCTATTATGTTTTTAATCAACATTAATTTTCTCAGAGAAGGGTGTGTTCTTATGGCGGCACACTGCAACATAATAAATGCTCGTCACCTTCAGAACATTGCTGAGAAAAGAATTGACATCTTGTCTGATGATTGTAATGAGACTCTGTACAATCATTTGATTGATGAGAGAAGCAAGGTTTCCCAATTTCTGCAAGATGCTTTCAGACTGAGCCAACTCTTTCTTCAGCTCCTGCTGGTGAGCCAGGTGGAGGTGAAGGGGTTCAAAGCGTTTATTTGGCTTTTTAGCATATTCCATGTGCAACAGCAGCTCGTGGTGTGCCTTATAGCTGTTCTCTTTCACCTGGGGACAAAAGAGTATTATTAGAGACGATTCCAGAAATGGACAGGCTTCTTTCTTACATAAAACTATAAGAGTTCTTTCTAATGCTCTAAAATTTTGCTCATGAAAAAGAAATGGCATGCGCTCAATTGCTCAATTATTAATGCTATTCTTTTCAGTTTACACAGGTTTGCTTTTGTTATAGTTTTGTATTATGTTTGGAAAAAATGATGAAGTACCGCATTTAGGATGACAGCGCGATACTGTGATAATTTCTCCAGATTCTGCTGACACTCTTGATTCTTGGTAATCAATATGTTCTTGAATTCCAGCAATGTGTAGGTTTGAGAGTCCTCCTGGGGCAGCCGGTGTGTCTCCTTCATATCTTCAATGAGTCTGTAAAAGGTAGAGTATTATTAGTGGGAAATCTGAACATCTAATGTTAAAGCTAAACATTAGTCCTACATTTTATCTCAAAGTTAAAAGGTCAAATCCAACAGCTAGAGCAATTCATAAGCACTGGTTAAAAGTCTTATTAGTTTTATTAGTTAGTTTTATTAGAATTACATCAAAAGCAACAATTCATAGAATATTACATATATGCTGAGAACCTGTGCCCTGATGTCACTAGTGTTGTAACTGTGATAAAAGGCTGGGGTTTGTTCTAACTTACCTGCTGAACAGATGAAGAGCACTTCTGAACTGAGGTACAGCTATAAGCAGCATGTCCTGCAGATTCTTACCCCTGCGCTGAAAAATGATCTTGCGCACATTTCTATGCCACCTGGCACATAAAAAAATCAAAACACAAATTAAAAGTAAGTAGTGAGAAAGACATAAATCACATCTTATATGTACTTACCAATTGAAAGCTTTCCGCAGTCTGAAGTCCCTGAAAAATTGGATTTTCTGCAAAGCTGTCCACAACACAGACTCCCTGTACCACTCTGCCAGACTGACAAGTTCACCATAACCCCTCTCTGTCACATGTAGTACAGAATTAGAGGAGAAGATGTAGTGCTCAGAACCAGCTTCACTAGATTGGACCACTTGAAGATCATAGGGTCTAAAAACAAAGATTGTGCATTCATAGTTTAATTGTATGCAATCCATAAAATGAAATTACTGCATGAGAAGACTTACAGATGTTTGAAATTGAGCTCTGATAAATATACTTATTCAATCGTACCTCCAAGAGTCCCCATCCACTTGCTTCAGGTAATAAAGCTCCAATTCTGCCAGGTGTCTTTTCTGGGCAAAGATCTGAACGACTTCCGTGCCAGTGAGAGGAATGTTTTTTGGTTTGGTCGCTTTCCCATCTTTTATCGTTCTTATCTTTTTATCCTCACGTGTTGTGACTTTTATTGATTCATCTTTCTCTGTAAGACTGAAACATTAAAAACTGAGAGTAAACAACAGAGAAATTCATTCTGGCCTAAAATAGCTTGGGGAGTAAATCTTGGCTGCTCAATTTGTCAGCTCTTTGTGTCACTTGTAAGTGGGAAAAAAATCATTGTGTGAGTTGCTATTATATACAGGGGTAAAAGTATATCTGGAAAATATATATTTCAAGCCAACAATGTGTCAAAAGCCTTAACAAGACACGACAAGGCCTATTACATACCATTATCAACATTACATATTTCATCATGCTCATTTTTTTAAGTTATTAGTGTGACAAAAGGATTGCATTTATATCATAAACTCCCACAGCCCCAATCATTCCATGTACCTTTGTGCTGTCAACTCAGTAGCAGTTCTTACAGGGATGTCTGTCCCTAATGCCAAGGCCATTAGTCGAGGTCCCTCTGTCCATTTTGTGTTACCTATGGCTCTCCCAGGTGCTACTTGGGCTACAAGATGAGGAAGTTCCAGCACTGATAAAGGTCTGTCAGGGGGGACATTTTGAAGGACGGTGGTACTGCTGAACAGGGACCCGGCCGCAAAGGCTGCTGAGAGAGAAGGTGGCCTTTGGCAAAGAAGTGGTAAAGTTACTTCAGGAGAGTGGGTCTTTTTCTTAACCTTGGGTCCAGACCTAGAAATGTCTTTACCACAGGTCTGAGAAGTTACATTACGGGATTTTTCATCCACAGTGGCAGCGAACATGCTGCTAGTCTCTCAAAGGATACCATCAGTAGGTTTACATACCACAGACGTTATCTTGCCAATCTAATCTTTATTTTGGAAATTCTGTAAGGAAAAACAAATTGGTTAATTTAGCACATCCACCATTGTCAATTAGCTTCATAACAAAGACAAAATCCAGTTTTACCACATTAGATAGATATGTACATGAAATTAGCAAGGTCTCAATATAGTTCATGATACTAATTGTAGGCAATTAACACCATTTTAGACGGTGATGAAATAGTTAATACTCATACTGCTCTCTGGACACAGAAATTATCAAGTTAATGGCATAAGTATTTAACAGTGTTTTTGATAAAAGCTGTGTGGAAACAAAAATTGTTTTATCAATAATCTTTATCTAAATATATGGCATATTAACACTGGTCATCACGATATCTTATGACAAATGAAAACTATTTTGATATAATCCTTATTTTCACACACTACTCCAGTTTTAAAAATTTGAAAAAGCTGCCTTTCATAGTGACATTTAGTAAATCATAATGAAGTAGTCGATGGCTCTGTCTGGTGCAGATTGACGGTAATTTAGCCTTTTCACGAAACGCCAGAAAAATAGTAATATAATTTATCTTCCATCTCTTTATAAAATGCATTATACTTTACGTGATTTATCCCCCATTACAAAAACAACATGACATGTACTTGCAAACCCTGGGAGGAGCAAGCACCGTTTGCGAGTAAGCTAGTAAGTTAATGTACTCTAGAAGTAAACTCCGTAAATAGTAAATCAAAGACGTTACACTCGACGCAGTTAAGCACCTGTTCTTAACACTGCCGAAGTTCAGATACCAGGAGAATTAGAGAACAGAGGCTGTTGCTTTGTAGTTGAATAAGTAGTTTAAAACAGCTAACTAACGGCGAAAGAAACAAAACTAACTGTGTGTGACTTTCTTACCTGGCTGTGGTGAAGTTGTCTGCGCAACCACGGCGACGGCTCGTTGCCACGGTAACGTCACAGTAACTTCAGTTGGTCTGCTGGTGAAGGTCAAGTATGTCGACTTTAAACTGCTCGTAACCTTTAACCCCGCAGCTTTATTTTAACCGACATACTGTAACTTGTCGAGACTACGGCATGTAACACAAAACTCTACTGGCTAAAGTGGAAATCATTCCAGCAACAGTTTATATTCCTCTTACAAAAGAGTTTCCCCCGCTGCCTTTGTACAACTTTGTACTTCACTGCGGTTGAAATAGTGAAATATGGCGATATGTTAATGGTTTTTAACCTTTAAGTTAAGGTGTTTTTAGAACACATCATCCTTTGGGAGCATATTTGGTTGCAGATTATGTGCAATAAAATCTGAGCGTTTTACGTTTGTTCAGCTTTACAGTCCTTTTGACTTGTCCTATCAGGTCTAAGTAATAAGCCTAAACATGGTGGAATTAGCCTACATATAAGACAATTTAATTAGTTACTAAATTTTCCTACTTAAAATGTCTGCTGAAATAATTATATATATTTTGACTTGTCTGAGAGCAGGAAAAAGCACCCGGTGAAACTAAAAACTTAAGGATGGCTGAGTTTTGTTAAATGTCCCAGTGAGCTGTTCCACAGAGACAGCAGGCGCATTACCGAGACATCTCCCAAGTGGAATGAAGCCATCGTTAATGTGATTAAATACACCTGTGGTTTTCCTGCTACGTCAAAATGAAGGCCTACTGAAACATCCAAAAGGTTTCTGGAAGAAGCCACAACTACCTCTGCTGTGAGTGCGACTGACCCACAGCAACCACACTGACTCCTCGATTATAGCCTCCATAACACGATGTACACAGTAGAAACCTACCCATCAAGAAATCCAGAATGACCAAATCTATGAAGTCCACCAGTCTCGTGCCTTTGTTGTACGGTGGTGTCTTTTTCACCGTCGAACAGTAGTCTGACTCTGTCTCCCACCTGAAAGAGACATGCATTTCCATCGCTTTCTTGCACAAAGAAGACCTTTTACTCATGAAAAAGAAATGGCATGCGCTCAGTTGCTCAATTATTAATGCTATTCTTTTCACTTTACACAGGTTTGCTTTTGTTATAGTTTTGTATTATGATTGGAAAGTGTTTTCTGTTTCATTTTTCTGAAAAACAATAGACATACACCTTCAACTCACTCCACAAAGCTTTAGTTTTGTGCATGCTGAACAGTGCATAGTGCACAAAAGCAGTCCAGCAATGTGGTGCCAGTTGGAGGCTGCCAATTCAGATGCGACAACTGTAGTTGTAACCTCTGGTGAAAAACTAAATAGGTTTAGAGATTGCTTGATTATTATGGTCTCTCATGGAGAATTCTGGAGGCGTGCTGAGGGGATATGTTGAATCACTTCATATCATACTGCACGTTGGTTCCTCTGTGACTAAAGATCTTATACCCACTGACTTTGCCAGCTTGCTGCGGCTGTAGGAGCGTCTCCAGGGTGATCTCCAGGACCTCCGCGTGGCCAGGGAGAGGTCTGGGAGCATGACAGCCAAGGAGGACTCCAGGTCCCTGGGACTACCACATACAGCGTGCTCTGTTGAACAGTAGTAGGAGCACTGGCCATAGAAACACACATTTCCCACTAGGGGGAGCCAGAGGAGCATAGAGAGGGAGTAAAGAGGAAGAGCATAGGAGAAAAAATGTCAAAGGAAAAATTGGGATAAAAGAGGTTGTGGGTGGTTGTTACAAGTGAGAATTAGAAGAAAGAAAGTATATTCAAAGAGATTCATAATTAGTTGACATTTTGAGCAGGGTAAATGAATAAAGGAGGAGTGTGTTAGCAGTACCAGGGGAGGTAAAAAATGTTCGGGCCAGCTTGCGATCGGTAGTGATGTCTTTGATCTCCTTGACCACGTCCACCAGCCTCCCAACCACAGGAGGGACTCTCCTGTAGCCCAAAATCCTGCAGCAAGACAGAGAGAGTGAAAGGACGTATGAGTTGAGGACAAAGACAAGTGGGGAAAGACAGAAAGAGAAAACCAGAGTGGGAAGGGAGGAGAGAGAAAATTCAATATGGAGTTACATAACATGTATTCACTATGTGGCTATTTCGTCCACCATTTCACACACTGTGCTCACTGTAGCTGTGTTATGCTGTAGTTTCGTGGATAAAAAAAAAAGTAGATTTGGCACCTGTCCAGGTGAAAAGCTGCAATTTCTGCATTGTGTCTCTCAAAGTCTGAGAAGTAGTAGAGGTTGTAGTTGGTTTCGTCGTCTCTCTCCTGCCTGCCGGGGAGAGGCAAGGTCAAACTACAGTACACAATACATGCGTTAATTACATATTTTCACCAAGTGAAGCCTCTTTTACCAACTCAGTTGCATTAAATATGCACATGGCTGTAAGAAGTTTCCATTCACCGTAAAAAGTGACTAATCTTCTCACCGACATTTCAGTTCATGAATTATTACACACTTTCCTTCCCTAATATTTACTTGAACAATGCATTACTGAGCTGTTTGAAGGCTTGAAAATCTCTCTCTCTGTTTCATCTGCAGTTTCCCATCACAATTTATTGGATTAATTTCAACAGGATTTAAAAGATTCAGTGATACACACGCTCTGTAATATTAACAGTGTGTTGGATTTGCCCCTTGCGACTCACTTCATGGGCTTGAACATAGCTTGTCCATAGTTGGGAAATGACATCACCAGCTTCAGTTGCGTCCCCCCAGACTTCTGCACTGAAAAAAAGCACTGAGAGCGTTACCATAGCAACAAAGCACACAGTGCACAGACTCACAAACACACAACACACAGTGCTGTGGCTGAACACACTGACCGTTAAATGGGGAACACACACATGCACGTTCATGCATAAAGCAAACTATAAAGAGAAAGTATGTGCGTCATCAGCAAGACACAACACAGTTCAGTCAGTTCAGTTTGTGGATACACACCACTGTGTTTATCTCTGCTCTATTTGTCTGGACGCTGTATTACATTGCATTCATTCTTGTGAGCGTTACCCAGCCTCATGATTAAACATGATACAGTATATTATCAGAAGCATAAGCTAGAAAGATCTATCCCTAATGTTAGTTTCTGTATATTATATCCATTTATATCTTCTTTGCCACAGATTTCAATACGTTTTCATTGTCATTTTTTACCTGAAAATGTTCTTATTTTCTTTTTTGTTTTCGTTTGACCTTCCTCTATATCTCTATTTCTCAGGAGACACAACGTCTTAACAAGCACACCTTTTTGTGCACTTTTACAAAAATAAAATGCAAATTGTTCTTAAAAACCACATGATTAGTCATGACCCTGAAGTTAACTCTTTAAAATTTAATTTAAAAGTTAATCTGAAGTGTTACTCAACCAAATTTACAGAGACAAAATCATGGAAAAAATGGAAGATTTTTATCATCTATAATATTTTTAATTCCTTTTTTTATTTTATTGCCCTGTTTTGTTACCACTGCTGTTATTAAAATAAGCAACTGCTGTCACAGTGATCTCAAAGTCAATTACACAAATAAGATGTGAGGCCTTGAGCTTTAAAATTATTTATAGTTTGTCAAGGTTGAGTGAGGATTCATCCCAAACACAGAAACAACAACAAAAACAAAAAAAACTCGAGGCCATGTCACTTTTGAGAGATGAAATAACACATTCTTCCAAATTAGCTTTGCAGGACGACGTGGACAGACAACATGATTGAACTGATGTTTCTGTCTTTGTTTAGTTACTAAATGTAGCGATATCATTGCTTTATTGTGATAATAAATATGGATAAAAAGATAGATATTTCTGTATAACTGACATTAATGAGCAAGTTTTAGTGACTTTAAAACTCCCCTCTCCTTGTGAAACTTTTACACTGTTTTTACCATTTACCAGCATGCATTGATAAAAGTTATTCAGAAAGGTTTAATTTTCAAATAAACTTATTCATCTTAACACAAGCCTTTATTCTAATCACTAAACCTTAAAGGTCCCATATTGTATAAAGTGAGATTTCCATGTGTTGTCTGATTATAGATCAGGTCTAGGTTCTATATTAATACTGTGAAAGTGTCAAAGCGCTCAGTCCACAGAGAAATGCACACAGCCTGTATTCAGACACTGAGCCTTAAAACCAGCCGTCAGGACTTGCTGTAATTTTGTGATGTCACAACAAAGCAGCCACTGCCCTCACCCATGTCCCAAGTCCCGCCCACCTGGGCCCACCATCAAACCTTGCAGGATTTGGTTTCAGAAGAGGATCAGAGCCTCCTCTCTTCTGATTGGCTCACCAACCTGTTGTTACTAGAGCCCCAGGGAGAAGCCTGAGGGAGGAGATGTAGGCTACGTCTTCTTATGGTATCACAACTTCAAATAAAACACTGAAAACCTGTAAAATATGGGACCTTTAAATTCTCTTTTATTTTACTAAGCCCAACCAAAAAGTCTTCCCATACCAAAATGTCCTCAGGACCTGTCTTCAGAAGTTTAACTAAACAGAATACACAGTGAAAAAGTTAAACTGTGAAGAAACATGCATGACTGACTGGTACTGAGATGTTTACTACATGCCCAACAGTGGCTCATGTATTCCCGTCCATCCTCTGCTGAGCCTCCAAGGCTCCTCAAAGCTTCACAGTAGCTTTCATGTCAGGAGAACTTCAAAGTAAATCTGCATTTGAAAGTCTAACCCTAAACCTGAGATGTCACACAATCACAACAACTCTCCCCTTCATCCTGCCTTCACCCTACCTGAAACCCACCCACCTTTACTCCCACAGGTTTGGTTCTTTGGGGAAAATTAGTTTTGGTTCTGTTAGATCTTCTTCTTTTCAAGTGGTGGTATAATTTTTGTGCAGATTGCAGTCCAAGAGGAGTCTTTAATATACTGATTTATTCAAGAGGTTCTCTGAGTCATCCTCTCGACTGACTCTGATCCTCCTGTCATCTGCTTGAAAACCATCTCGCCTTTGTTCGTCTGACACCTCCGCTGTCATGCATGATCAATGTGTGTTATTGGTGCGACAGTGTCAGGCTCTGTGCTCTGCTCTGACCATACTGTAGTAACTGTTACACACAAATACAGAAAGTAAACATTGCAGCAAACACTGATCGCTCAAATGAAAACACAAGCTCTGAAGCTGCGGTGTCAGACCTGTGCTCACGATGCGGCTCGTGGCGAGCTGCTGGGTCAGAGCCTCCATGTTGGGGTCACGATGGGGGTAGAGCTGCCAGCGGGAGATGCCCAGGTGGAAGCGGAGCCAGGGAGGGTGACTGTTGCTGCTGCTGTTCCACTGGACGTCCTCATAGCCGTCCTGGCTGGCACTCACCCTGGAGAGAGACGTGGTGAGAGAGTGATGGGGTGGGGGGTGGGGGGGTTAAGGAGGGGAAAGAGACGGAGGAGAGTGTGTCATCATGATAATATTCTCTCAGATTCCACGTCAGCCTGATTCTCTCATGATGATTTTTCGTTTTTCTGTTATTGAAGAAATTACATTAAAAAAAAACAAAAAAACTAGTGCTTAGTCAGTTAATGAAACAGTTGATCAATGAAAATTTAATCAGTAGTAATTTGATCATTTAAGCAGCCAGACTTCGCTTGTTTCAGCTTCTCAAATGTTAGATTTGCAGCTTTTTTCACATAATTGAAAACTGAATCTCTTTGGGTTTTGGACTATTGGTCATTTGCAGAAGCCATATCAGGCACTTGACAGATGTGATGGGAATTTTTCACAATTTTATGACATTTTACAGACTAAATAATAATTAATTAAATGAAGAAATTATTGACAAATAATCAGTGGTGACGAGAATTGTTAGCTGCGTCCAGAACAGAAACTGTAGAGGCCACAAATCATGAAAAGGAGGGAAATTCCACCAGAAAGACACCACGAAAAATCATAAGGTAGACACTACTGGTGGTGTCTGCAAAGCCTGTGTATCCTATTGTTCCCATTGTGTTAAGACTCTTTGAAGACGTGCTCTACATGCAACCAACAATATACAGCAGCTCTGTACACACCTGCAAGAGACACCACAGAAATCTATAGCAGCAGCATTGTAACAAGTATAAACCAGCCTCGACAACAGGAGCTCAGATCTGCTTCCTGCAGTCTGACCCATCTGGTGAAAACCTCGCATGTGCTCGGTTAGCGGTGAGCGGTATATAGCGGCCCTTGCAGGACGGAAAATTGGATTGAGTATGGCAACTGAAGAGATGCTGAAATAATTTAAATAAAGCGAATACGAGTATGTTTGGTTAAGTTTGATTGTGAGAATGACGAGAGTTGATGTCAAAGGAGAAATCGTATTCACACGCTGTCGTTTTGCACAGTAGCTGTATAAGACTGACCACATCTGAGAGCTCTTCTCGCTAGCCTTGACCTTTGGTTTCACTCTCAGCAGCCAGTCCTCTTCAGGGATAGGAGGGCTGAGCATGTTGTACAGAGGATGGTCAAACAGCGCCTCCAGTTTTGACAACGCAGACTCCATAGGTTCTGCTCCGTCGGCGCCATAACGTCCCACCCTTGCTGCCGTGTTGATTAAAGCGGGATGAGCTTTGGCATCCTTATTGGCGTCTCCATTGGAAGAAGCTCTTTGTGCAGTATCGGTCGGTGGCTCCGCTACGTCACTGATCCCCACAGAGGTGTAGTTGGTGCGTGCCAGGTCTCTCAGGATGTATGTCTTGGGTGGCAGTGGGTGGTCACAGGGCTGGTGGTAAATGGAAAGAGAGACAAGTGCCAGGAAGAGGTGGAGGAAAATGGTGATGAAGGCCAAGGACAGACAGATTGTCCTGGAGCGACGGCGCAAATACCACATCATCCTACTGAGAGGAGAGTGTGAGAGAGGGTCAGGAGAGGTGGACAAACGAAGGGAAGAAGAGAGAAAGAAAAATGTGTAAAAGATTTAAAGAAAAAAAAAAGGGGGGAGAATGTGAGAGAAAGCCATGTGGGTTAAGGTGATGAAAAACAAATTACAGTAACGGCATCAAGCAAACCTGACATAATGAAGAACATGGCATTGATAAAGGCATTAAGAAGGCTTTTAACACTTTCATTTAAAAGTCTAGCTCAGTCTACTCCTGCTCCCAACTCTGCAATCGTTTCACTGAGGTCACTGAGAAAACACAAGAAAAAGGCAACTTACAACACAGCTTCCTACCTCTTAAAATGCTTTCCGTCACTCCTCGGCTGTTGTTGCTTCCCAGTGGACACAGACAGGACTCTATCCACTATCCAGTCAGCCTTTACCCAGGTGTTTGAACTTTTCTACACTTTCTGCTACCAGGCTCGGGTCGGGAGAGGTGCCAGGTCAAAGTGATCTGGGACCGGATCAATGTGGTTTCTCATCTCTTTGAAAAGTTGGTCTCTTCCTGCCAGTTTGTTTGTCATGTCTGAATCCATCAGTTTGACAAAATTGGACAACTTTTTTTGGATTTATAATTTTGGGGAAATCTCTAGAAGCTGTTTCAGTGAAGGAAGGAAAAAAAAAAAAAAAAACCTCTTAAATGTAAATGTGTATTTGATGTTGAACAACAGATCTGCCAGGTCATTTGAATGACAGCCTGGGCTGTTTTAATCTGTACAGATAGGAGCAACATTAGCACACACACACATCCACCAACACTCACTCCTACTGTTCCCTCATCTCACCTGTCAGAACTGACTGAATTCACGAGACAAAGGCAGACTAAAAAATCATCTTTACGTCCTCATTAAATAATTCTTTATTGGCATTCGATCTGCAGCTCGTATAAAGGACTGTACAACATCAGTGATCACATCATCTCTTGTCAGATTGAATATAGAACCCAAACCACGAGCAGTTAATTATCTGCAGTCTGGTAGAGGTCTCGACGAAGCAGGCTTCATAACCAGGCAGTGGGAGAGACAGATGTTTCATATTCTGAGTGTATGTTTGCACTGAGACTTTGATTCAGGAACTTCAGACCTCCTGGAGAGTCCCACAGGATCCACTGCTTCTGTGAAGTATGCCTCTTTAAAGTCTGCATGTGTGTGTGTGTGTGTGTGTGTGTGTGTGTGTGTGTGTGTGTGTCTACATGTTGTATATGTGCATCCAGGACAAAGAGAGAGATAGAGAGAGTTTAACAAAAATGTGTGTGTCATTCCCGTGTGACTGTTTGTACGGTGTGTACTGACGGTGCATGGAGAAGGATCACCTTTCTTTAAAAAATGACAGTCTGACTCATCTCTCTCAGCTGAACAGAGCGGATTGAAGGGATTTAGAGGAAGCTTTTCTCCCGTATTCATGCAGGTGGTCGTATTCATTAATTGTTAATCAGCGCTCATCAAACATAGATGTTTTGGATAACAGCACGAACAACATGCAAATGAAGCAAAAGTAATGTGATTTTCATGAACATCAGGAAAACCACAGTGGGAAGTGCAAGTTGTTGGACACAGGGGTAACTGGATTATATTTTTTGCATGAGTGTGTTTCGTTTATTATCTGTAAGGATTAGTCTGTCTTGATGAGTGACTATTAGTCCACAAACGTCTGTGACTAGAGAGAACAAACAAGTGTGGTAGGGCTCGGGTTTATTTTAGCTGGCACGGTGCCTCGCTGGGTCTCTGTGGAAAGCATACACAGATAAGGACACAGATGCTGGTTTTCCAACAGGGATGTTATGTTTGAAGGGCGACCAGGAATATGACACTTGTTGACTAACAGAGATCAACAGAGAGTGAATCTCAGCATAACATGGGACCAAAGGACAAAATGGTTGAAATAAAGTGGGAATTGTGGAAATTTACAAACTGGTTTATGCATTTGTAGCTGTTCTAACTTTGGGTCCAGGCTGATATATCTAAACCTATTGAAGGGACTGACATAAAATCTTGGTACCGACATTCATGGTCCCAACAGGATGGATCCTTTTGGTGGTTGTCTGACTTTTCATCTACCGCCACCAGAGGGTTGGAGTTGAGACAGACCATTTTGGTTTTTAGTTAAATATCTTGACTATTGGATGGATTGCCATTAAATTTGGTACAGACATCCAGGGTGCCCAGAGGATGATCCCCTGACTTAGTCTAGGGAAAAAGTCTCAACCACTATAGCATGGATTTCCAGATAACTGTGTCATTGTGTGTATTTCTAATTAGCAAATGTTAGCATGCTAACACCATAAACTAATATGGTGAATGTGGAGAAAACATCATAACTGTTAATAAGAAGCATCTCAACATTATCATTTTAAGTATTTTAACATGTTGGAGAAAGAAAGAGAAGAAGAAAATGCCTCACGGCGTTGCTGAGGTATCGTGTTCAGACGGACGGACAGATGGATGGATGTACGGACGAACCTGGCTGTCGCTGGTGCGGAAGCATAATTATGTTTACGCCCAAGTGACGAAGCCCTTTAGGGGGTGAAGTAATTATGATGGGAGCGCAGGATTAATTGAGGAGACATTGTTATAGAGGGACAAGGTCCATGTAGGGAGGAGGACGGGTGGATGGACGGGTCAACAGAACATCAGAGTTTAATATGGGAGACAGCCGTTCATTTCCTGCTTCCACCCACCCCCAGGCAATGTTGTTTTCTTGATGCAGCAAAATACTAACCAGTTATGACTTGCATTGTGCTGACATGGAGATGTGACTTGTTTGAATTCAAATTATTATGTGCCTGAACTGTTTTGTTTATTTAACCGAGGAAGCAGCTTTGCAGCTTTTGAAAACTGCTTTATATATTTTACATGGTTTTTAAGGTTGTCGGCGTTGTATAGAATTAGAGAGCTGCGATTTAGGTGTCATTTGTGTTTTATTCACTTTTTTTTTTTACGTCGGTTGACAAAGGCTATCCTCAGCCTCCAGAAAGGTGATGAGGGGAAATAATCATACAAGTGCAAACAGCATAACTGTCGTCTCCATATCTTTCCCTCCAGTCATCTGATTTGTTTTTCTAACTTCAGCTCAGCTACAAACCTTCTGGGCCTTTTACGTTTTGCTAAGTGTCTTACTTTTTGTCTAATGCACTCTTTCTGTCTCTGCCCCTCACTGATGTATTATAAACAAGCTGTCTCGGGTTTGATCCACACACAACGCTCGTCTTTCATCCCCTCTCGCTTCATTTCACCACCACCCTCCGTTTCCCCCCAAAACTTATGGTACCCTTTTTATTTCAGTCTGGAGATGAGCTAATGAAACACACAGTCACAGCAACTGATGGTCAAAATGGGAGCTGCCTCACACACACGCTTGCAGAAAGACACACACACACACATACACACTCATATTAATATTGGATTGTGTTTCTCATTTCTCAATAAAAAAAAAAGCCCACTAGCGATGTTCAGATGAAAAATTCATCCCTCTCTCCTGCAGTCCTCTGTCGCCCTCCGTTTCTAACTGCTGGCTGCCCTTCCCTCGCTCTGCTCCTCTCTTACTCTCTGTACCCTCGAGCGACTCGTGAAATCTGAGATTCTTCAGTCTCTAAACTCTCAAAAACCCACTTTCTCTTTGACACGAAGTCTCCTTTTTCTCTACCAGCAATCGGATTCTGCGAGTTGTCAGTCACTACGTTTTCACCCAGCTGCAGATTCTTTCCCTCCTTCACCTCCTGTATATCTACCGCTAACACGCATCCACGCACACACTCTCATGCACACACACCCGGGGCTGCTCAAACCTTCCACCTGTCACTGCAGGTGGTGAGGAAGTTGCTAAGATACAGCACCGAGCTTTTCCAACACAGACAGATCCTTCGAATGAGAACACAGTGTGAGAGCACAACACTGTGTTTGAACTTCAACATCAACAGTTATGGTACTAATCTGTGTAAACAAAAAAAAATGTTTTTTTTCCTACTGCCTGCTGCTGTGACATGATATGCGAAGGCTTTGACAATTTCTGTGCCACTAGTCGCCTAGTAAACATCAACTATTCTATTATGATTTCTGTATTTTTATGTATTTAAAAAACAGTTTTTTCCTACATGGTACTAAAAGGAGAGATGGATTATAAGAGCTTTCCTCCACTAAATTAAAGTTTGGTGTTGAATTATTCTATTCATTCATTACACATTTTTTGCAGGATTGAAAATAGTGAATTTTAAAAGCATTTGGTATCTGCCCTTGGAAATGTATTAGCATTAATAAACTAACTTTAAATTTTAAAATGTAAAATGCACTTTAGATCCCAAATTCCACAGAAAAAAAAAACACATATCTTAACCTCTCAACACCAGGTGTAAAAACCAAAGACACACAGATCCCAGTTGGTGTTAGAGAGAAGTGTGCATGACATTTAACATTTGCCTCATGTGGTAATGTGGTAATCTTCACTGCGTGCTCCACAGAGCCTCTCGCAAGGAGCCACATCCGCCTCAGCAACCTCGCCTGACACTCCCTCCACGTCTCCTTCTGTATCTCCCTAATCTCCTCTCCTCACCACTTTTTCCTTGACCTCAGTGGAAAACATCATGAGGTCAAGGGAAGATGTGAAGGAGAATTCATAAGGATTTAGGAAAAGACAGAAAATCTGGCTGCACTTACACTAGACACTAGGAACTTTACTTATAACACATGGACGATAAATACTCCTTTTTTTACCTTTTTTACATTTTAGAAAATTCATTTTTAGTGCATTACACAATGGGAGGGGATTTAGTGAAACATTTATGTTTATAGTATTTAATTATTTTGTTTGTTGGTTTGCTGTTATTGTAGCTATTTAAATTATACTATTGTATCTCACTGTCAGCTTTCTCTCATCTGTGAGGCACTTTGAACTGCACTAACCTGTATGAAAAGCGCTACACAAATAAAGTTCGATTGATTGACTGATCATTAACAAGAAATTCAATATGTCGTTCTTCTTCACTACTACCCTGCCAGATCGTAGACTCTGCTTCTGCTCTGTCTCTGACCCCTGACCTGGCTCTCCTCATCGTCCTTGTGTTTCTCAAGCCTTCTACTGTCTCAGCAGCCATCTCCCGAGGCTGCTCCTCTGGTCTCCACCCTCATCCACAGCACCATCATCTCCATCACCATCTTCAATAAATTATCCCTTATCCAACACCTTGCCCACGCCTCGTCTGTGTCTGCACTCGGGTTCAATAGTTCAGGAGCGCCACTTAACAGCAGGATAATGAGCCTCCTTCCTGCACACTGGGGAGAGCATTTCGGTGTTGGGAGTGAGCAAACTGGCAGAGTCTTTAGTGTGACTCTGTGGCTCTTTGTATGAATTTTTAACAACACTGAGGAGACACAGTGAGAGGGAGGAGATATATAAAGAGTGTTTGAGGTGAATAATGAATGAGATGCATCACAGGGCGGAACTATGTTTACTGACACAAGAGCCACTGCGTTAATCAGAGGGCTGTTACAATGGCCGCAGAATGTGCAGGCTTCCCTCGCATGAAATAAGCCGACCAGGTGACTCAGGGTGAAAGCTATCAGTGTATTACACTGGCAGGAATCCAAGCAAATCTGGATGTATCTATGTCAAATCCATTGCGGTCATTAAAGGGAGATTTTTTACAGGAGAAATGCTGTAATATCAAAAATGCAAAATCAAAAATACCATGAACGGATTTGTTTTGTTGAGAGCGAGACTTTCTTGCCAAAACTCCTTTTGAGAGCCGTCTGGTTACAACACAAGGACGGAGATGACGACAGTCAGTGATGCAGACATTGCACGTGTTTGCAGGTCATTCTAACTTTTACATGTTAACTGTATAATAATGTCAACATCAGTCGACTTTAAAAATTGATTTGGTGGAGGCTTTCAATGGGACATTACTTGTAGTGATAATTGTTAAATAACTACACAGGCAAATTATTTCAGAGAAAGACATTTTGGACCAAGATCAATCTATGATATAATCAATCGGGAACAATCTCTAAATGATTTGTGGATTGATTCTCACTGGTAAAGTCATAGAACAAATACCTTTCAAAACCATTGTGGTTGTTTGCATTCTTCAGATTTGAGAATAGCACCTGAACCCTGGCACCCTGAAATGATGTTCATGGTGGGCAACATCACGAAAACATAACAGACAAGAACATGTATTGATCAACAGCTCTGGACCCAGGCTTGCTCTCTGTTATTATAGCAGTATCAAATATCTACATGTAGGATTCACAGATACAGTTGTAAAACTGTAGCATGTAAAACTACTTTCATTTCTAATTCAGAAAGTTTCATTTGTGACTTGACCATCGGGTGAAACAGACACATCACAGTGACTTGACTATTTCCTGCAAAAATCAGACATGTTGGCAACAAGTGTGAACAGAAGGGAAGTGGTGACGGTGAGGCGTGAGGACAAGAGTGCAGGCTGACCTGATTTTGGGGTCATGGTGGTTTGGGTACTGAAATGTTCAGGTTGAAGTTGCCAGATTTTGCTAATCTGTCAATAACAGTGGCCTCCCTCCATTTCTGGGTCAAAATGCCCTCTGCACTGTCATGGTGCAAAAGGGCCACTTCAATTTCACAACATCATAGTTCTTTCTCTGAAGCAGACACATCTTTTTTTTTTTTAATAAGTCTGTAGTACTGATATGAAAAACTATGCAGTGTAATATTCTGTTAACAATACTTTCTCAACATACACGTGTAACATAAATCTGAATGTACTTGAATTATTTATGTGTTGCAGATCACCTCTTTCTACCAGTTCATGTCTATCAGTCTACAAGATGGCGCTAATAGGAGGCCACATATTAATATTGTAAACATGAGGTAAAGCAGTCGTTTGGTTAGTCTACTGTTGATGCTTGTCGACTGACGATAATGTGTCTATTCAAATGACTAAGATACTGTGTTTATAGATATCTAACGTCATGATTCTTGTTCACAAATGTATAAATAGTCAAGTGTTAATGTCAGATTTGTCTTTTCGTTACCTGATAATTGAAACTGCAAATAAAGGTCATTTTACATGGTCATATTCTGTATATAGTTGACTAATTACACACATTTATATTTGCACATCCTGCATAATATTCCTTTGAACTGATCTTTACTATTAATGATGAGTCACTTCTTTATGGTGTTATATCATTATTATTATTACGCACGTCTATACACACACACACACGTGTACCACCGAGAGTACTTTTCACTAACACTGATTTTAATTGGTGCACTGATGCATTTAACTGATGCATTTAAAATAGATTACATGAACTGGAGCATCTCTCACTGAAACCACAGAGCAGAGCAAGCTGAGTGGAAGTGCGCCTCTCGGTGTCAATAAGGAACTCGACAAAGAACACGTCAGAAAAATTGGCAGTTTTAGCAACTTTTTCCCGCAAAATAATTCAATTTGCCTTAAGAGGAAAATAACATTTAAACTGTAACGCAGCATCTTTTCAAAACAACTTTTTCCAGTCTCTCAGGGAAAACCTGCCTCAGCCAATCTGACAAGTCCCTAACGCTCCATCATTTCTCTTTTTTTCCTTATGAACATAAAACCTTGTTGGGGTATTTTTGGAAGCATCTTTGTTAGTCCCCTCCTCTGTGTACTTCTTGTGTATAAAAAGCCTTGGAAAAAGAGTTGGTGGCATGTTTTTCCTCTGTGTGAAGCACATACTTTTACTCTTTTCCAACATTTTTAACCCAAACTCAAAATCTATTGATACTTGAGACAAATGTTTCATTTGACTCCTGGCAATGCGGGTGCAGTCACTAATGATTCTATTTTCTAAAAAACACCACTTGTACCCGTTACAGTTCGCTCTCAACTTACCAGAAATGCCTTTTTCCTCAGCAGCTATTGTTGCAAAGTTGCGTTTGCTTACGATTGATTGAATTTGACCTTAAATGCCTGAAATTTAATGAGTGGAAGTGTAAACCTGCAGCCACGAACAATTGTGAAGAACACAGGCGACAGTCTATGTTCCTATTTCATCACATTTCAGTGTTTATTGTACAATCAGGTCAGTTCACACATAATGGTCCATTGCACTGGATCATTAAAACTGGCATCACCATGAAAACAATCACATTGCTAATATCACTCAGTTGGGTGATATTATTAGGGATTATTACAAACACCTTTACAGGGAGAAAAGGTGGATCGGGTTTAGTGTTGCTTGGCTCAGGAGACGCTGAGCCTTTAGTTGTAAGAAGATGACACTGGTCTTTAAAAAGAAGTTTTTCAAGTCGCATCAAAATATGTACACATAAAAAATATTACAAATTTTATTAAAAGACTAGTGCGGCTTGAGAGAGAGAGAAAAGACACGTGTGTAACGTTACAGACAGCGTGGACAGTTTACTGTTGCACAAACTGCTGAGGGTGGTGACAATGAAATGTTATTTCAAAAAACTGTGTGTGTCCAGCACACACAAACATATAAACTCACTCACACACACGCTCCCTGAAGAGGAATGAGGATAAAGGACTTTGGAGACCCTGGCTGGCTGTATTGTTTGTAAAAGTTAAACTTACTTGCACATGCACACTCACAAATGTTTAGGACCGTGGATACAGCTTCAGAGAAAGAAAACGAGAGAAAAGTGACAAACAAGGCAGGAAGCTATTTTTATGCCAAAGTGACTGCCGCTCTCAAAATTCCCTTTCAAGTATCTTCCCTGCCAACTACGTTTTTAACTGGACGAGATCTCCAAGTGATGGTTTGCTATCTGCCACAGTGGCTGGTTGTGTGGACAAACTGACCTGCCGCAACACAAATGTAACCAGCGTCTGGCTGGTAGCTGGTGCTCATTCCCAGCCCAGTGACCATGTCAGAGGGCAGGAGGGGCAGCGAGGAGGTGCTACGAGCACTTCCAAACACATACGGCCAGGCTCCCTCCAAAGAACATGTAGAGCAGGTTCTTCACCTCGTGTGTAACCTCAAAGCCGAAGCCTTCACCGATCACTACGTGCCACGAGCTCCCAAATTTCTTGTCCATAGACTCCTTGATCATCTTTGCTGCGCTCTGGGAAAGACAGCGAGGACAAATATAAAAAATAAAAATATTAACATGTTATATGGATTAAAGCCTATTGTTAACAATAATGATAATAATTTATAATAATACCAGATAAATATTAAAAACTGACAGGACAATATACACTTACCTCATTGTTGGTTGCAAATTTTTCACAGGCTGTAACACAGAGCTCCATGGTCTCAACCCTCATTTCCTCTGGCATGTCCGTGTGCTGAGAACAACACAAACTGTAAGGGTCTACATTTTCCTGTCCGGTCTATTACATACCGGTATTATGAGAGAGATGTGGACCAACAGGAATTACATTCTAAAAACTTTCTCACTTTAGATATCTAAAACAATTTAAGAACTTTATACAAAACTGTACAACAGAGCAAAAGTAAAACAGTATGCTGTATGCTGCAATCACAAATGGGAAATGTAAATGTCAACAACCAAGTGCAACCCTAAGAATGTCATGAGTGACTGACCTAATGTGCGACTACAAACACCACAGGACAAAAGGTGACAAATATGTTGGCAATCAGATATTTTGCAGACACAAAAAACAGTGCAGCACTGCTGTGTAGCCTATCTGCTACGATTTGTTCATCTTTGATTATATAAGAAATCATGTTACATCAATCTGAGCTAGATATTTTTCTCCACCACTTTCTGTTTACATATTTTGTGTTATCTGTTGATTGCATAATATGCACATATAAATACCACATGGGGTGTGATGAAATTCTGTCTGAATCTTATAATGTAAGGTAATGCCTTGAAGGAATCTTGTGTGTGCCTGTCTTTGATAAAAACTCATGCCCTATGATGGATAGCTGTTAAATATTTGAGTCTGTAAAGTACACATTCTCTCAGCTGCAGTTCAGTCAGGACTGCCTTTGTGTGTTTTAGTGACCCAGTCAGTTCGCAAGGTAGCAGTTTCTTACATTCCCCAAAAGCAGTTACAAAAAGCTCATACAGATTTTGGCAGTCACATTTTATGAACTTAGTAACAATTGCATTTGCAGCACTAAAACTTGTTAGCCTAAGATTTGCGGCCTACACAGCAAATTTATAGAATGACAATATAAAGTTGACGCTGTCATTGCAGAATGGGCTGCTCCCAGCCGCAGTTAGGATGTTTTTGTCCTGTAACCACTGGCACTGTCCCACTTCTCTCCTACCCTAATGAGAGGGAAGCTGTGAAGTCTCTTGTAGTCGGCCTCTTCTTTCTTTCCCTCGCCAGTCCCAGCCATTCCGACTCCTGCAAAAGGACATTTACTACATGTTAACAAAAAAATTATATCAATACTTAGAAGCTCTGCTAAATGTGTGTTAGAAAAGTATTTCATGTGTACAGTCCAGTATTGCACAGAAGAATCTGTAGCTAACTACTCTCAACAAGAACCGGCTGGAGACGAGGTTAGCTAATATCACTTAGCCGTTACTAGCTAGATACAACAAGTATCGTATCGTAGTTAACATCAGAATAGACTATTTCACTTTTGGGCAGTATACATATATCGCACATTACGACTGGTTTCGTGAACTTGATCGGGCTTTATCATGTTTGTAACCTTAAATAGCTTGACAGGTTTCTACTAGCTAGCTAATTAGCCTAGCTAGTTCGATGGCAAACAGCTGATGCTACCGGTTGATGTTTCCTATCCCAAATTTGACTTATTATAATGCACTGTCGTGTGATTACCGGTGACGGTGTGTTGTCGATAGTTTATATATGCAAAGTGACACGGAGGCGGGTTACTTACGAGGCGTTTGTCCAGCGAAAACTTCTCCTATTTTACTCCCAGTTCGGTCGTTAAGGAGACATTTTAAACAACAGACGTCCGTAGAGAGAAGCCCCGCCCACTACAGCCAAACGCCGTTCCTATTGGTTCAGAGGCTGTCAATCAACTGAAAGAGAACGCGGTTGTAAACCGCCCCTTTTCACCAAAACTACTTATTTGTTTATTTTCGATTGAAAATGAATGTATGAGAATGTATTCAACAGCGCATCATTATAATAATTGTGGAAAGACACCTACTACTTTCCCATCTAGCTGCACTTGTATGCAAAAGTGTGGGCACCGCTGTGGAAACTACATATTTTGTAGATTTTTGAAGTAAAGAAAACTAAAAACCCTCCCTCCCTGCAGCTAACAGACACGGGGAAATTTTAACTGTAACACTCCCAAGACAGCCTAAAAACATCTCAAAACTTGAAGTGATCTACAGGAAGAGTGGGTGAAAATTCCTAAATCAAGTATAAAACGAAGACTGGCTACTGAAATAGTTTGCAAGCTTTGATATCTGCCAACTTAATAGTCAATTATTCAGATGATTTATTAATAATTAAAAAATAGTAAAAACCAGACTCTAAAAATACAACATTACAAATAAAAGTCCTGTGCTCAAAACTTGGAGCTAATTTGGACTGCGTTATATCTGTAACAATGTAATAGTGCAGGACCGCTGCAGTAAAATCACTCTATTCACAATTTTACTTGATAGTATTAGCAAAAAGTACTCTTGTTCATTATGCAGATTAATCCCTGTCAGTGCTGAATTATTATATCACCAGATTACATTTGATGCATTAACATAAGCAGTACTTAAATGTTGTTGTCAGTTAGGTGGAGCTAATTTAACTGCTTTATGTACTGGTTCTTTTAATCTGTGACAATGCACCAGTGCAGTAACACTAAAAGTAAGTGATGAAATGTTATTCAAATAAAAGTAATGAAATATTAGCAACAAAATGACTACTATTTATTATGCAGAATGGTCAGTGTTATATTACTGAATCAGAATATTTGATGAATGTTGTTATGTAATATACTTTAATGTTATAGTTGTTTGGGGTGGAGCTAATTTCAACAGCTTTAAAGGGTAATTAAAAAAAAAAAACAATTATATCTTAACTGTAACTATTTATATTTTTGTGTAAACTCTTAATCTAAAAAGTACTGCATTTATTTGACAGCTGTACTCTCAAATAAATGCAGTGGAGTAAAACGTACTATACTTCCTTCATAAATGTAGTGCAGTACACGTAGCATAAAATGGAACCGTCAAGTGAAATAAAAGTAATTTAGTAAGTGCAATACTTTTTTAAATTTCATTTTCCTTTTTGAATTAATGCACTGTGATAAAAGGAATCCAATATATGAAGACAGACTGTTGGTTCATTCATCTAATGAAGAAGTGGTATGAATGTTGCATAAATGTACAGACTTTCCACCACTGTCTAACTATGTGTCTGTCTGCCTGTTCTAAAATTACACCACTGTCTAACAGACTGTGTGCAAGTGAAACCCGTTTCAATCCGTCCTAATCAGCCCTCTCACTGACTCTGACCCACATTCAGCTAGAAACATCTGGGTGGAATCCCCAGGTGGAGAGCTGTGGCCCAGAATTGTCAGTATGCTACACACGCACACACACACACACACACACACACACACACACACACACACACACAGATGCCACAAACCCAAACTCACACACGCAGAAATCCACAAAGCTTTGAAAGTGAGATAGGCCCAGATTCTCTGTCTGTTAGCCTGCGTTGTGCATTTAGTGTCACACGCCCGATGAAGTAACCCAGTCTGAAATTCCACCACAAGCATCTGGATTACTTTGCTTTCTGAAACAATGAGTCTGCTCTGGATTAGAGAGGATTATCAATCAATCCCCAGAGAGGCAGACAAGCAGATCACGTGATAATCTTTCTCCTCTTCTATTTGTCTTTTTTTCCTTGTCTCTACTCGTCTTTCTGCACCCAGGAAGAGGCTGCAATTTGTGGACCATAAGTTTAAACCTAGCCCCTCACCTCATCTCTACTGCCTCCTTTTGATAAACAGTATAAGCCATTAACTGATTGCACAGCGACAGATTATGTTATGAAATGCTTTTGCAGGGGCTTTGATCGGACCAGTCGACCCAGTTTGGCGACAACATCGGTTAGAGAGCCAAATAAATACATTCTGACTGCACAATCCCAACTCAGGGATAATATTCCCAGAGCTTTCAATCATATCACACATTCTTCATCAGTGGGTGGAATTTGCTCAGTTGTCATGGTGATGAGTGTGTTTGGGGGGCTGAGAAGCTGTATGATTTCAACCTCAGGACTTTTCATCCTTTTGGGCATAGAGTTAAGATACTCAAGGTCTTCTTACTAGCTTTTTCTGGAAATGTTTAACCATATCATGTCAGCTTCTTCATCATGGAACTTGAATTGCTCTTATCTCGTCTCCAATGATAACAATCAACTTTCATGCTTATCAGATTTTAGACAAAGTGATATCATTAAAGCTAAAACTAGCAGTCATAAATTAATCTATTGCAAAAAATCAACATTTATTTTGAAAATTGATTAACTGTTCAGGTCAGTTGATAGCTGCATGTTGATGAACTGAAAGTTAAAGGTTAATGAACTGTATAGTACTGTAGAGTTTAAAATATGCATTTTGGTCAGAGAGCAAAAAGCAAAAAGAAATGTTATTGCTCTACTCTCAACAATCGGCTGTTTTTATATTTGGTGCTGTACTGATTAAAAAAATAGCATGTTAGCATAGCATCATACTGATAAACAGCTTATGCATGTTGTGTGCATTGTTGGATCAAGTGTGAAACATAAAATATACTGCGAGAGAGAAAGAGAGGGAGCATTAAATACCCAGGTGAGAAGCTCACAAAGAGGAGTGCCAGAGGGCTGGAAGGTGAGCTGAAATAAGAATGTCAAAACAAAAAGAGAGAAGAAGATGGAGGTGTTTTTTGACACAAGGTGTAGTGAAAAAAAATGTCAACAGGGGATGAGAAAGGGATGTAAGAGGGGGAGGAGGAGGAGGTGATGGTGGTGCTGGCACAAAGACCTTGAGGAAAGTATTCATCATGAGGAGAAAATATTGTATAAACATTTTGTGGTAAATATGAGATGAAGCAGAGTCCTGAACACAGAGAAAAATGCTGCTTTACTTGATGGTGAAGAAAGTTAAGGAAAACAGTTTGTATAATTGACGACAGCGTTAGAGAGCGAAGCGGTTCAAGGTGAAGGACTGATCAACAATGAAATTACAGTGTACATGTGGAGGGTGAAGAATTGCTTGACTGGAGAGCTAGCAGCGATGACACGATGCAGTGCAGCGAGAATAAAATTCATTTGAAATCTGTGTCTGTATTCACAAGTGTAATGACTCAGGCAGGTTGGACCCAAATGCAGAATCAAAGACGGGCAGGTACAATGAAGATAATTTAATAACAAAAGCAGGATTACATGTAGACGAGATGACAAAGATAACTGGCAGGAAAACTGGTAGACAAAAAAACACACGCTCAAAGCAGCAACACGAGGAAAACCTCACAGAACCAGAACTCGAACAGGAACTAAAGCAGAACTAACTCTGAGGAAACTGAACAGACAAACTGAGGAGGGGTGAGGGAAATACAGAGACTTAAATACACTAGTGAGGGGAAGACAATAGGACACAGGTGAAACTAAAAGGTCTGTGGGAAGCAATCACACAGGTGGGGAACAAACAAAGACAGGAGGAAAAACCCATGATGGACACACAAGGAAGATCATTTCAAAATAAAACACGGAGTCCAAGCAAAGAGTCACTGAGAGGGGCAGATCATGACGGCGAGGAAGGCTGACACGCTGCGAGCGTCTTCGCAGCAGGGGACGAGGAAAGAATTGAGAAAGAGAAAAGAGAAGGATTATGAGAGGGATGAAGATTTGCTTCAAAAAATTAATATTTGAGTTGGTGTGCGTGCGACGGAGAGTGCAGTGGTGGTGGGTCACACAAGGATTTCCATAATATCTGCCTGCATGCCTCAGAGAGAGAGAGGTAATTAAGGTGTATGTATAATTCAACAGCAGAGGAAGCAGATTGCTGGGGAGGGGGGAGGAAGACCCCGTGTGACTCTGCTAACAAGCTGTGACAGAGGCGAGATCAACAGAGAGATGGAGCAGGGAATCATCATCCAAAAAAAGACTGTGAAGGAAAATAATCACTGACCGACTGTGAGGTTGGCTGACTGATTAACCAACTGAGTGACAGCTTGATGACTCAATGACTGACTCACTAACGCATGCACTCACTGATTGATTGTTTGATTTTGTAATTGATCGGTGGTAACAGGCAGTTGATCGTGTTGGGTTAGTTAGAGTTGTGCGGAGTGAATTAATCATTTTCATGGCATATATTCGTGTATCTAATTTAGTTAACAATTAACTCTTTCTTGAATGATGTTGCTGTATTCATTCATTCATCTGGGTTCAAAATAGTTCTTGAGGAGTCCTTGGGATTTTACACTTTTCCCAGTGTTGATCCATAAGAAAGTATTTGTGGTTTTAAGGACCAAAAATCATCTCAGTGTACATGTCGGTGAGCCAATCAGAAGAGAGGAGGCTCTGAGCCTCTCCTCTGATTGGCTGACTGTTGAACAAAAATATAACAGATTTCAGGCAAAACACTCAGAGAAACCAAATCCTGCAGGGTTGGATGGTGGGTCGGGGTGGGCGGGGCTTGGGGCATGGCTGAGAGTGGTGACTGCTTTGTTGTGACATCACAAAGTTACAGGAAGTCCCGACGGCTGGTTTTAAGTCTCAGTGTCTGAGTACAGGCTGTGTGCATTTCTCTGTGGACTGAGGCTTTGACACTTTCACAGTATTAATATAGAACCTAGACTTGCTTTATAATAAAAAAAAAGACATGGAAATCTACCTTTATACAATGTGGGACCTTTGAAGTTTCACCAAAGTTACTGAAGTTCATCCCGAGGGGGGCATGAATATGTGCAGTAAATTTCATGATAAAACATTTAATAATTGTTGAGATATTTCAATAAAAAACAGGAATATCAAATTCATGATGGCACAAGAGTAAAGTCAGCGAATCATCAAAGTCAGTAGGATTCATCCTCTGAGGACCATGAATGTCTGTACATAAGTTCATGGCAATCCCTGCAGTTGTTGTTTAAATATTTCAGTATAGACCAAGAGAAAAAGAAATCTTGCTATTCAAGCAGTTTATTGGCAGAGCTTTAATTTCTGTAGCCCTTGGACGATGAATAAACTCCTAGAAGGCAGTTTATGGTGGTGATTTCAATTGGGACCCAAATTTTTTATTGCCACAGGGCCCTGATTCAGATAAACGAGGACATGACACAAGAGAGAAGAAGGCAACTAAATATTGAAAAACAGGCTGGATCCTTTGATGAGCAATCTCAATAGTTTGAGAATATCCTTTAAAATGTGACTAACTTCCCAGTCAGAATCATCTGTCCATGACTTTATACTCCACAAGCAATCTGTTAAAGCACTCCATCAGAAAACACGCCTACACTGAACAGATGGGAGCGTTGCCCAGCCATGGCAAAGATCTGCTTTCGACCAGGAGTGAAGCAAGTGACTGACAACATTTTTATTAATTAAATAAAACCTCAAATTAAGTGATGAGTGTAAAAATCAAATTGCATCAATTCAAAGTGTAGTGAGTCACTTATTTCCACAAATCTGTTTTTAGTATCACTTATAAAGGACAAGAGTAGTAATGGTGATTTTATTTCTATGAGTAGCTTTAGTGATAAAAAAAAAAACAAAATAAACAATACTAGGACTTGAATCTTAATCACATTTCTTTGGTCATAAGACTAAAGAAAAAGAGAGGGAAGCTAAAAAGAGACAAATAAAACTTTGATATGTCATCAGTGGGAGGTTACACATCAGATCACAGATCAGCTGAGCCGAACGCCAAGAAACGCTGCGTGTGTGGGCAGATCAGTCCTCACGAAGCAAATCTATGAGTAATCTATTATGTCTACCTAAATGATCTGGTTCTCTGCTGAATAATCGCCTCAGTGTCTCCATATTAACACACACACACACACACACACACACACACACACAAACACACACACACACACACACACACACACACACACACGCACACGTCATAGGCAAATTCACCTGACAGCAAAAACACAGCTCATCTAGTCTTACAGCTAGATGAGATTAGGCTGCGTACCTATGTGTGTGTGTGTGTGTGTGTGTGTGTGTGTGTGTGTGTGTGTGTGTGTGTCAGGAGGGTTAACACTATCCATTGTTAACCCTCATGACACACACACACAGAGTTGCTTAGTTGAGGTGTAATCCAGGTGAGCTGAGAGGTGTAAAGAGATCTGTCTGCTCACAACCAGCGTACGCATGCATACGCACACGCACACGCGCACACACACACACACACACACACTTTGATGTTATTTTTGAGCTACGACTCTGCAGGTGTTGTCATAACCATTTTATTGTTTTTATCCACCGATTTCACAATATCATAGAAGATCCATGAAGATGCAAATAAGGACAAGTGCAACACCGTCACAGCCTTCAACAATCAAAAGCAAGAGAGAGAGAGAAAGTGACAGAGAAGAAGAAAGAGGAGACGAAGAAGAAAACATTAAAACATTTGACTTTTTTTTGTTTTTTTTTTTGTCTTTTTTTTTGGGCACGAGAGCCCAGGCAGGCACTTTACAGCTGGGTGTCAAATCGTACGTGGGCCTGATGTCTTGAGGTAACAGAAGCACGAGCTGCATTTTAACCACAGATCACGTCACTGCACAGTGTTCAATCCCTCTCTCCTCACACTGGGCGGCTTGTTCTACTTTCTCTAAACTATTTCTATGATGTACCATTTTGAACTTGCACTGAGCTCAGGAAATGAAGCACACCCCACCTGTCTTGTTGTCGCTAACAAAGACGCAAATCAAATGCTAAACATTTCGAGAATTACGATCATTTGACAAGAGCCCACTGAAAACCAGAGACAGCCTCAGAGGTGGGAGTATGTAGCGTCACGGCTCAAGGTTATGTATTTCGCAGGTGTAAATCTGTGGAAGTCCTGGTGTGCCAGCTTGAGCTAAAACTCAATCATTTGCTATGGTTGTTGTCCAAAAGAGCGCTCACTAACTTGATTACACCTTCCACCCGTTGGTCTCCATCAGGCAGTGTGGCAGAGTTACCATCTGGTGATGTTTAGGGTGGAAATGTCGGATTGGATTCATATGTCCATGTTTTCTTTTTCTCCAATATGATGGAAATAGAGGTCGGTTTTGATTCTGATCAAGGTTACATTCATACAGCCACAGGGGGGACAGAATAATTATTATTAAACATAGTTTACATTAACACTCAAGTCTAGAGATTTCAACTTATTCTAAAGGTCCAAACTGGCTGTGCTAGAAGTAATGACTGAAGATCAATAAATATTGTCTATAACCCTAGTTCCTTAAATGTTTTTTTTTTTTTTATATTTATTTATTTATTTTGTTGTTCTTTAATTTGCTAAGAGAATAAGTAGCTTGGATTAATGGCTGCCTAACGACAGCTTCCAAGTAAAGAAACACCAGAAAGTGTGAGTTGGTCTTCAGGCGTTTCTCTATGTCAAGTACAAAACGGTCATCATAGAAAGAATCCACTTCTTACACTTTGCTTTCTGTTGTGTGAGGATCTGATTCACCACGAAGACATCTGTGTGCTTAAGAGTGTCGGGCAGTTTGGGGGACATCAACTTTGTAATATACACATTTTGAGTTAGTTTCTTCAGTGACAGTAAATGTGACCTTGGTCATGCAAATATACTTAGACATTCCATCTGCTTTACATTCAAGGATACAACACAGTTTTATCAAACTCACTCAGGTTTTTGTCACGATTTCAGTGTCTGATCGGTGCTTTGGTTCGACATCAAGTGTTTATTTCAGAGGTCAATCGAGAGTGCCGCTTTGTTTAAGTTGGAATCGAAAGCGCTGCAACTTAACCGTGCAGGACTGTGAGGTGTGTGAGAGGCTACAGCAGGAGGAGCAGACTGGCACAGAGCGACATTAGCAGAGATACATTACACAATATACATTTATAAGACCACTGTTTTACCAAAACATGGTATGCAATATAGAAAAACGTAAAAGTACACGGACATCACTCAACAGGATCGTATAAGTTAAAAATGAAGAAAACTCATTTTGTTCCCCATTGAGTGTTGAAATCAGTGTTAGCATGATAGCGTCTCATAAATCAGTTTTAGCGTTAAACACAACCAGCTGGACACAAGATAAAGAAAGACAGAACTTTGTGTCACTTTGTTGTAAAATAAGTAACCCTTATATACGGCGCCATTAAAGGTTCCTTCATTACTGCATTCAAACCCATCAAAGCCTTCTGCCTGAAGGGCAGTAGAGTTAACCGGCCCAACAGATGATGACCCACAGCAGAGGGTGGTACATCTCACCAGAGCCCGTCAGTAATCTATTATAGAGCTCTTCCATAATAGTCCCGTTAAGTTAAACCACCCATGCAGCCTTCACTAAAGTGATGCCGTGACTAAACTCACTGTATCTCACTGCAGAAGTAAACACATGAGCGTGGACACCAACACAAAAATCAAAACAGATACACCACTCTTAACGACTTAACAGCTCCACCTTTCAGTCCAGCAGAGAAGCTCCCATCCCCCACACAAACAAATATACTCCAATATGATACGCCTTTAAACTCCTGAATCGACTCCTAAATCGACCTATCAAACACGACCACCCATGGCCGGCTTCTCCCAGTCACCCCCCTCACTGTTTGGGGCTGGAGGGATTGGATCTCTGGGCGGCGTGGCAGGGGTCCAGGGACTCCTTGGTGGCGCCGCCATAGACATCTACGTCGTGGTCGGTCCAGGGGGCGATGTTGCCGAGCGCCGAGGAGCTGCATTCGGCCAGGGCGGCCACCTCCGCAGGCTTCAGCACCCGATCCCACAGGTTGAACTGGGAGAGCTCCCCGACCAGGGCCTGGGAGGCATCAAATCGCCCCCCCAACGTATCCTTGGGTAGGAAGAGATGGAAACAAAACAATTTATCACATTTGTGGTGGGAACAAATGAACAGGAAACCAGAGTATGAAAAGAACTTGTAAGTACGTATATAATAATATATATATATATATATGTCAGCCTTGTAGTTTACCCTCCATCAGTGTAACAAAACATTTGAATGACCGGCGAGAACACGACACGTTTTTTGGATTTATACTAAAATGAAAATGCAGATGAAATTTTTATCCATACACAGAAATATTGTGCTTTGATGATTTCCCCCTAAATAAGATTTAAAAAAGTGTTTATCCTTCCGTCAGAGAACCCTTGTGAGGGGGATGTCCTGGGATTTTCGAACATGAAATCTGCTCAACACATCCACCCAGCAGCAATTCATCATTCATCCACAACACTGATTAATAAAGCACTTGCTCTCTCTCTCTCTCTCTCTCTCTCTCGCTCTCGCTCTAAAAAATATCCATTAAATCAAGTCTTGTTGCATCATTGCAGCATCTTGCAGAACTGGACTCAGCTGTCTGCTTTTTATCCTTTATGCAAGGACGATGAGCTTTGGGGTTTTCTTTTGACACTGGGGGGGGGTAATGTCACATTTCATAATGGTTATGTAATGTGGGTGTCTCGCTAATGAAGGAGAGACGCAGCCCAGTATGATGATAAACACCATTAGGTTTCAGTCTGTTCATGTGTGAAAAGCTATTGGTGCTCCCTTAAATTAGCTTGTGTTGTTTTCCTGGCCCTATATACATCCATTCATCAATCATCCATCCATTCATTAGTTTGCTCATCCATCCACCCATCCATTTGTCCATCCATCCATCATTTTGTTCATCTATCCATACCTGAATCTTTCCATTCATCCGTCTACCCACCAATCAATCCATCCATCCTTCTCAAACTCCATCTCACCTGTTCCTGTCCTAGTATGAGGACCCCTCCTGGTTTGATGGGATGCCAGGCAGCCAGACCCTCTCCCCTCCCCTTCATCTTCCCCCCCTGGTAGGCCTTCCACACTCCGTCCCTCAGGGTCCAGCTGACACAGATGTGCTGCCACTCGTCCTGCGGTAGGGACAGAGGCAGCTGCGCCACCTACAGGTCAGAAAAATACAGTTGGCCGTGATTAGATCTTTCATTACAAGGTGAGTGAGTGATTTCAAGTTCACTGAGCTGCAACACATCAAGCGATTACGGCTGGATATTGGACAAGTGTGGGCAGTAATCGGGACAGAATGTGGACACACTGGTGGTTTATGTCAGCACAACTACGCCCCGTGGACAGTCCCAACCTTCCTTCCACCACAGTAGCAAAACCCCCACTCCTCTCTGCAATGGAAACTAGAGGCGAAAGCACTATAAAACAGGTAAGCATTAATGCAGGACATAAAACAACAGCTGCAGAAAGACTGCCTCTGTACGTGTGCTGACATATGACAAAACAACCAAAGACACCGGTTTGTGTCAGACTGTTGCACCATTTTTATTCAAGGCTTTTATTTCGGATGAAAAACATTATATCCAAAGTCATATTCCCATTTGTTAGTGTATTTATTCTGGGGCAAATCACTGCCCTTGACATTTAGTTTCTAAGTGTTCTGGGTTTTTTTTTCTTTTTTGTAGTTTTAAAATTTTAATGTGTTGTTCAAGAGGTCCATCTGTTTTACTACTTTTTCTGTAGCAGCGGAATATAGGTTTTTTTTTTTTTTTTAAACCAGTGATGCATTAAATGGATGGTAAAGCTTAGACGGGGATCGACACACGTACACACCTTAGGCTATAGTGCGTCTGGAGAACCTACCTAAAATAAACTGTAAACAACATCGTACCCACTGAAACAATTGGTGATATTTTAAGTTGCACAGTTTGTTCTGTTCGTCACTCTGGAGACGTCTGTCACAAGTATGAACATGTTTTCAGTGCTCATTTGAATCAATGAATTACAACGAGCCACAAACTAGCTCGCACCGTCCTGTAGAACAGCATAACAAGCTAATAATGATTTCCATTGCAGGCTTTTGCTTGACTAATTATAAGGAAACCTGCGGGGTACAAAATGTTCTCTTTTTTTCTTCTTTTTCTGTTGTTTTTTACCAGAAGCCATTAATTTCCATGCATAATATACAATGTCACAATTACTTTTTTCTGTCTTACAGCTTCACTTATCTTCTATTTTTTATCTTTTAACCACTCGAGGTACAATCCAAACTCCCGTACCTTGTCGTTGATGAGCAGCTCCACAGGGTTGTGGACTCCCTGTAGCAGCACCAGCTCGTTAGGCTGCCCCGGCACTGAGTAAGAGAAGGGGGTCCCGATGCCCCCTTCTTTGGCCTTCAACCATACACAGGCTGTGAAGGCATACATCTCAGTTATCTCTTTTCTCACCAGGCCGTACATGTAGTTAGTCCGCATGGGGAAGGAGAGGACGAAGCCATCGGGGAACGACGGCTCTGTCAGCGCTTTGGAGACACAGATGAAGGAGATAAAAAGAAAAAGTCAGACGGCAGAGAGAGAGAAAACAGGGACCAACAATGCTTTAATGCCCAATTTATACAAGGACACTGGTATTTCTCTTCTTACTTATCCCTACCGGTTTGTGCACGCAGTGCACGCACAGCGCCTGGCAAGAGCTCAAGTGTTACAGTTAATGATCCGCCTCTATAAGTCAAGGTGCTTAAAGCACAGATGCAAGTGGAGACAGTGGGAGAGGTTGGGAGAATGACAGAGCTAAAGAGAGAATAGAGAAGTGCTTTTTCTTTCCTTTTAACCTTCCTCTTAACACCTCAGGAACTCTCATCTCTCCCCTACTGCTTCCACTTCACCTATTGCCAGCTCTCTGTTTTTTTCAGTGGTGTCCACCTGCAGTTACCTTGATTATCTTGATTATCTATGGTAGAAAAATTTCACAAACAAACAACCAATGAAACGACTCCAAAACCAATGTGACATTTCCAAACTACATTACTGATGACTCAAAATTAAGGAACCTTAAAATAAACTCCTATAATTATAAAGATTTACAAGTTGCAACTGAGGGCAGCAAATGACTTCACATCATTTTATTCCCTTTTCACTTATTTTTTGCTGTGTCATTTTTATTTTCACCTCCTAGACCTATTTGACATTTCACAACCTTCAGACCTCATTAATCACTTGATTTTAATCTACAGCTTATTCTCTACCGCTGTGATGAAGCAGTTTGCCCACAGTGCTCATTAAAGTTTCATTTTAGCCTTCTCTTGCAGTTCTCTCATGGAGGTCAGCTTGGTGATGCTGTTGTTTACCTCCTGCTTGTGTTCATCCATACATCCCTTCCTTCATTTATTTATCCACCACCCCCACGTCTTTGCTCTCTCCCCCTGGACTCACTGTGTTCCAGCTCAGTGACGCGGTGGCTGACGGTGTCGATGCCCTGGTTGATCTTCTCGTGTTGGCCCTGAGTCTCTTTCCTCATGGCCTGACGCTCCTTCTCCAGCATCTTTATCTTCCTCTCCAGCTCCCCCTCCAGGTCCTCCACCCTCCAGGTGCCCTTGCCACGCCCGGGGGAACCCTTGGTTGGGGGTTTGGGCGCAGGGGAAGCCGGGGAGGCGGGACGGCGACCCCCTGGGGTGGCAGCTGCAGGTGGGGAGGAAGCACTGCCCGTGGGTGGAGCGGGAGCCCTGCCGGTGTTACCAGGCGGGCTACTGCTGCTACTGCTGCTACTGCTGCTGCTGCTGCTGCTGCTGCTGCCACTTGTGCCCACAGACGTGTCGGTGAGGTTCAAGGCAGCTGGGCCTATCTCCGCCTGCAAGACAGACACATGAAAATAAAGTAAAGTAGGTATTTAAATGTCAATTATTACAAAATGTCTCACTAACAGTTGGATGGATGACCATGATATTCAGCAGACATATTCATGTCCCTCTCAGGATATTTGAAGCGCCTTATGAATTCGATTTTGAAAATTCAATTTTCCCCGTGCATTTGTATGAAAAAGCATGTTTGCTCCTCTAACGTCATTATAAGCTCTGAGATTCCCTTTTATAATTTTGTCCTTTTGAAAGTCTAAAGATCAAAACACTTGGCTTTTCAATTAAACCCTCGCGCTGCACTCAAACACTGCAGAGCCTTCCTTTCTCAAAATGAAATGAGTCACACACAGTCCACTTGGACATCTTTGCTTTCGTCAGTGTGTCCAATATCAATGATTATATTGATCAACTTGTGTAATTATGCCTGTTGGACAGATTGTGAGGGGTCAATATAATCTTTGAAAGTGGACATCTGGTCCGGATACTGTACTTTGAAGGCAGAGCGTTTGTGAGTGCTCATCCCACTTGTTTGTGATTCCCGGGAACAAGCAGAGCCTATTTCCTGTCTTCATTGTCGTAGCATAAATAGACGCATTAAACTATTCATGACAGCTGTGGCGTTTGTTATAAACTGAAATGAAGCTGAAGGAAGAGGAGTGACATGATGAAACAGCAGCACAGCGAGAGGTGTTGTGTTGATGATAGTAGTAGCCCAGCAGTGGTGGTATTAGTATTCATAGCAGAAGCTGAAAAAAAGAAGGTGTTGGTGAAGCAGCAGAAGAAAGAAAGAGAGAGAGAGAGAGAGAGAGAGATGCTGCTGTTGCGAGGGCGATATATAATATCAAGAGAGTTGCTGAGGCAGGACTGGATCTGGACGTCCGGGATATAAATTCACACTGACGGAGACAACCTTGTAACTGGCTGTTCTTGAAGAGGCCTGGCAGTGATGCAGCAGTGTCCGATTGTGTGTGTGTGTGTGTGTGTGTGTGTGTGTGTGTGTGTGTGTGTGTGTGTGTGTGTGTGTGTGTGTGCGGTTATAAGCCTCTCTATGTCTCAATCTCAGCACACACACACAGGCTGAGAACCTGACTCCCCCACCACCAACACCACCACCCTCTTTCCTGTCCAGCCAGCCTCATCTTTTATTTATTTCTCTATCCTGCTGTTGGATGCGGAGGTAGAGGAGCCAGAGAGAGAGAGAGGCGGCTCACACATGGGGAAGGGGGGGTGGGGGTGGGGGTGGGGGTGTGGGGTGGCGGGGTGCAGAGGGATGAGAAGGCCAGCAGGTGGAAAGATTTCCCTTGGGTCCATGGGGAGCGTGCGCAAGTCATGAAGAGCGTTTGTGTCATGAGTGACTTGTCAGAGATGAAGATAAAAGAGGGAGAGAAGGCGGTTAAAGAGGGGGGAGGGGAGGGGTGATGGAAAAGAGATCAGGCCAACATAAGATGATGAACATTAGATGCACAGACAAACGCTTTAAAGCTTCTCACTGCCATTATTTCTGCACGCAGCCAGTTGTGGGCGTTGGGATCTTTCCATTTAGGTAAATAGCAAAATTCTGAGAGGATATCTTCTCCAGCTTTTACCAAAGAGGTTCTTAAACTGCACTTGCCAGTTGAATAAACAGTGGGACAACAGGCTGTTTAATGGAACTGACTACGGTCTAATTCAGTCACTGTGAACGGACAGTGGCTAATTCATCCATTTTGGTATCAAGTTCAAATCTCCTGCTGCTAAGACAGAAAGCTCCAAACAGGAGGGCAACAGCAAAGAACAACAAGGTTTTGCCATAAGTTGTGCGTAGCCTGCGCTGAGTGTCTTTCCACTACCTCGAGTTTCTCATGCGGTCCTTCAGGTCCATTGAATTGGCCTGGCCAGTCTCCACACCTCGCTCCACAGCGCTCGCCGTCTGCGAGCTGCGCCGCGGGCGGAAGAGCTGACAATCATCCCCGGCCAATGACGCGGCGGGGCCGCTCCAGACCCGATGCTCCGGCTCCGGGACGCTCCTTCTCGTCCTCCAGGCCACTTCACAACTCGCTCACGCTTCCCCGTCAGCTTCCCGGATGGTCCCTCTGGTCCATGAGGATCTGGTCGTTTCTGCTGCAGGACCATCTGCCGGAGGCTCCTCCGCGGTGGTCCCGGAGATAAGTCCAGTCCTCATCACCGGTTCCGTACAGCGGCTCTCCGCTGCTGCTGCTGCTGCTGCTGCTGCTGCTGCTGGCTGCTGCTGCTTGCTGCTGCCCCGCGTTGCTTCAGATCTTTCGTCTTGCATTCTCCGACCGGTACAGGTGTGCAGATCAGCCGGGTGAAACTTGAAACTGTATTGTTGCGGACGACCCCCTCCAGTCTCCTCCCCGAGGTTTGAGTTTCGTTCAGAGTGGGAACTTCAGTCCGATGCTGTCCGTGAGCCCGTTTCCTCCATCGTAGGACTCGGCGCCGTGGAGGGCCACCCCAGCGGCCCGGCGTTGTGCCACCGACCCGTGCTCCAGGGGCTGGAGCAGCGTCTCCGATGTCAGGGGCGTTGTCGCTGAGAGGCGCGGCGCGTTTCCGGGGATAAACAAGACTGGCGCATGATGCCAGATTCGATACCGGCCCGAGGAAAGGCTAGCAAGTTGCCCGGCTCCCACAAGGCACGCACCACGACGCTAACTTCATTATGGACTGGTGGG